GTCTAACTGGAAAGTAAGGCTTTAACAAAGAAATGTTCCCTTAACCTATGGACTTCAATGACCCCTGTGACTTATAGTCGTCAGGGTACCCTAGAAAAATAGAAGCATTGACACATATTGAAGACATTTCTCAAACACAAAACAAAACATCTTTCCATATTTCATTTCTGGAAGCCGGAATAAAAGAGCAAGCACTGTTACTGCATTCAGATATCAAATACAGACATTAGAGAATACATGAAAAGAACATTTCAGTAATCACACTGGTAACTTCTATAACAAAGTAAAATCTCCAGAGAAGTCATTCAACTCATTTGATATTAGAAGGAAACATATTTATTAATACCTTGATTATAATCACTCATTACATATACATTGAAGCAGCAGTGGATTCCAATCCACCCCCTTCAACACATTATAAAGAAGCAGCTTTAAACTCCCTCAGAAATGAAACTATAACATTATTTGAGCACTAGAGGGACAAATCATATTCCCACATAAACATAACATTAGTACTAGAGATGAACTGACAATTGAGTTCACTGATGTTTATGACTGATATGTACGCATGTCTACTCTGATCATCAGTGGTGTGATATTGATTTAACTGATAAACGGAGTCATCTGGTGGATTTATGAAGAACAGCAGCAAAAACAGCATCACAGCTGTAAACTCAACCCCGAACATCCTGGAGAAGTGCACATATTTCAGTGCATATTTCACATATTTGTGCATTCATACAAAAAAGTATTGATTCCAGCGTATATTCACAGACCCTTACAGATAAATATCACTCCTTCAGAGGAGTGGAAAATCAATTAATTAATTTATTACAATCTTCCACTGCTTTAGGACTTGAGTAATAATATTTTATTCAACATATGCCTTTTACTTTAAATTTTACCATTTGAATCCCCAGTTATAATATAAAAGATACTAATATTCACCTCCGGTTGTCAGTTTTAGAAAGCGTTTAGACCAAACAACTCACTCTCTCTCTCCTCCAGTCTTTCCTCCACTTGTGTTCTTGGACCATTTGACCACTTTCAGTTTATAATGTATATTTTCAGTATTAGGGTCCAGTGTTCAAGTAGCAAACAACACAAGTGTGTGTACTGGGACAGGCCCAGAGAAATGACACACACACGCACGCACACACGCACACACTCACACGCACACACACGCACACACGCACGCACGCACGCACACACACACACACACACACACACAGGGAGACGTAGCCAATAACACTTCCTGTGTTTCAGTATTATATGACGGATGGTGATGGTGTATACAGCAACAGCTACAGGACTAGTGGACTTCATAATTTCAGTCAGAGGAGACATCAGTTCAATTGTGGATTAAAATTTGGTCAATAAACCTTGACCTTAAAAGGGTTTTTGAAGCATGTCATTTAAATTAATCTTTAATATCATGCAAAACGTATATATTATAATAATAGCAAATTGTACAATAGTCACAGAAAGGCCTCAGAGTGTGTGTTTTTTCATGCCGAGTGAAACGCACGGTACATGATTCACTAAATACATAAGACTCGAACTCAGTTTGTGAGTCAAAGTGAAACCGCAGTGGTCTGATCTGTTTACAGCTGAACAGAGATGTGGTTTGAGCTGATGGCTGGACTAACAGCTTCTGCATTACAGAAAAATACAGTAATTATAATCTATAAGTTGCTTTAAAAAAAAGAAATAAACTTGATTCTTTGATCCATCAAGAGCTATGTGTGGAAAAACAACAAAAACTGATTTTCTGAAGAGAATGTGATACACACAACACAAGCCCAGTCTCATGTTTCTATGACGCTTCTATCCAGAGATGTCCATTTTGATCTATTTGAATGGAACTCTATGGAACTTGTTGCTAGGGATCTCAACCTTTGTTGCTAGGGTGTTGATACAGAGTGTCCAAGAAGAAACTTAAGACTGAATGTTTGCATGAGTCAAACTCACCCTCGTGTACTGGGCCTTTTATAATGGTAGTTTATGGGATCAGTTGCTAGGGCGCTCTAAATGGTTGCTAGGGCGTGGCTTGATAGCTTCACAATGATCCTGAGAGACTGATTGGTTGCCTGAGTGAAATTAACCCACCCTCATCATGTCTCTATGACACTGTGATCCAGAGTTACTCTCAATATTCCTATGCAAGTTCCCATAGTAAGAAAAACACATGTGCTCACTTCCTGTTTCATGGGCCTTCCTTCACCATAGTATGTCAATGGGGAAAATTTGGGCAGCTCTTGCGCCCCAGGGCTACAAACTGTGAGGTCTGTTCTTACAGAGCTTGCCATCACCGATCGCTTATAAAAGTCAAAGCACACCTCATCCATGGGTCTACGACAAACACCACTTATACGTGTGCAAGAGAACAATAGAGAAGCTTTGCTTCACAAGCACCACTAATAGAGTCAGGCCAGAGGTCAGGTTAATAATCGAAAACAATATAGAACATAAATGGTACAACTTCTGCCACTATAATAACACATCCTGGAGAAAGAACAACACATGCAAGAGTAGCTCACACATGTGGGCGGTGTTCAATTCCTGTGGTGGAGGAATCACATGCAACACTACCTTAATATCACAGTTTAACACAGTTGTGTCAGTTCACAATCTGTCTGTCACACAAGTGCTCACATATATCAAGCACTGTTATTTGAAGATGGATCATCTGTTTATGTTGTGCTACATGTGGCATATTGCTGCTAAGTTATATTTCTTTTAAGACATTAAATCTTGCTTTAGTTTTAATACAAAGCAATTGGCTGCTTTTTTAATCAGCCAGAGGATTTGCATTCTCTGTTAATCCTACATAAAAGATGCACAAGTTAAGCTGAAATAAAATTGATGCATTTATTTTTCTCTTGTGCAATGACATTTTAGAATAAAAGTATTGCGATAATTTCAGAGTGCATGGCTTTACTCGTTGTCCATCACATGAAATTATTATGATGAATCTGATGTGCAAATGATGACAGTCGAAAATTATAATCATCTAAAAGTCAGTGTTGTTTGTTGCACAGTTATGGAATGTTATTATTAATTAAATCATGTTAATAGTGTTATTATAGTAAAATACAGTATCCATAAAGTATAACTTTTAAATGTTTTTTTGGTTGTGAAATACAAACAGCCGTCTGCCATTTTGTAACGGAGTGTCTGCAACTGTAATCAGACGTATTTATGAATATTTATATCTGCAATAGACTTTAGCAGATGATTTTTGCAAACTAACACAATAACACATTTCGTGTAAGCCAAATCTGCGAAGATTTAGCACAAGGCTAATAAATTTGTGAGTCAGCATGATATTAAACAGCATATATTGCACAGAATCTGTGCCTATCTGGCTTACTTGAACATACTTGTCACTACAACAGCGCTATTGTTCATTTACATTGAAGCAATAGCGAAGATTAAAAAGCATTTGGTTATCGTGAAGGAGCGTTTGAATTGGGACAGTCGTCGCACCACTGTGCCTTCGAAGGATGCAGCCTCTGAATTGGGACTCAGCTAGTGTACCTTTAATGAAGCTGATTATTTTTCTCTGTCACATATTATTATATGTTCTATATAGCATGAGTGTACAGTAATCTGGACTACATCCACCATGTTGTCAGTGTCATGTGATCTACAGTTGTGTCGCTTCACTGTCATTCATAAATCCTCTTCTGTTGCCTTATGGGATAGAAAAGTGTCCATTGCATACCTCTGAATCTCGGCAGTAGCTGTCATCCGGGGACTTTTTGCCTATACTGTTTAACGAATACTATGTATTCAAACATACTATTTCATAATGTATATTAGAGAAGTGTTTGATTTTGGACGATATCTGGCCATTATTTCACAACCTTTTGCACACTGAAGCACCGCTGCTGAAAAGTACAGGAAACGCTGCTTAAATTTATATTTCTTTACCTGGGTTTTCTAGGGTGGCAATGCTTTTTCTTGGGATGCCACTTGCCACCTGTGACTCTTGGCTACACAACGCATTCTTCACACACAAACACAATCCACTGTCCAGTCATTATAGATGATCTTCAGTTTTGTTGAACTTGTAGTGAAATTGTCCCTCCTGCACACAACTCTCCTCCTTCCTCTATGGTGAACGTGTGGTGACAGCCCAAAAAACACTTTTTTGTTTTAGAACATCAGGTCATGTATCAGCACTGACCGACTGATGTTGCAATAAACACTTTATTCCTATCAGATTCTTATTTCTCTCGTGTTTTCCAGCGGCCTGTTCCTGCATCAGCAGAGACTCTTTTGTGTTTCTGCATCTGTTCTTTAATTCACATCTAGATTACAAACTACAGCTAATTTCAGGATTTATATTCAACAGAAACCTTCATGTTTGTTCTCCTGGTGTGTTTGGTGATTCAGTGTCAGTGATGGAGGGAGCTTCTGTTACTCTAAACTCTGATCTTACTGAAATACACAAAGACTAAGATGTATTGTGGAAATATGGAGCTGAAAACTCTCTTATAGCTCAAATCAGAAAAACTGCTGGAATCTTGTCCCCATTTAATGTTCCTGATGGGAGATTCAGAGACAGACTGAAGCTGGACGATCAAACTGGATCTCTGACCATCACACACACCACAACTGAACACACTGGACGTTATAAACTATAAGGGGAGCGAAATGGTCATCAAAAACATTCAGTGTTTCTGTCTATGGTGAGTAGATCGTTTGTCTCAAACTTCAAATGTTCCTATTTTAATGTTCACATACTGAAATTTTCTAATTTGAGAAACACTCACTGTGATCACACTAACCATTTATCCAGATTTGTTCATTCTCTCATGTTTTCCAGCTTGTCTGCCTGTTCCTGTCATCATCAGAGACTGTTCTTCTTCTTCATCATCATCACACCAGAATTGTTCACTAGTGTGTTCATCAGTGTTGAATGTGAGTGATGCGACTCTCTCCTGGTACGCAGGAATGAGTGTATTGTCCAGCATCAGTGTGTGTGATCTCAGCATCAGTCTCTCTCTACCTCTGGAGGTGGAATATCAGGATAAAAACACCTACAGCTGTGTGCTGAACAATCCCATCAGCAACCAGACCACACATCTGGACATCAACACACTCTGCCACACATGTGCAGGTACAGCAGCACTGATGATATTATTCACATTCATTCACTAATGTGTGGATTTTATCGAGATTTATAACTTAAGATGTCAGACAGGATGAATGGGCTTCATCTCATGGTTTTAAAACTGTTTTTAATTATTTATTTTTATCTTGTGTGGAGCAGAACATTTGATCTTTTTAATTGCATGAAAGACTAAAGGACGCTTGTTGAAAATCTCAATTTAATTTATAATTTGTTTCATTAGTTTCTCCAAAAGGCCACGCCCCCTGTTGTGATTCTGTTGAAGCTGTGCTGCGATTGGACGTCACTGCGCTGATGGGCGTGGCTTCCGCGGCTGCTGCTGTTCTTCTGGTCAATGATGTCAGAGCTTCAAGAGCTAAAATGAAGAAAACAGAAGAGATGTCATAAATATTGTGGCATATATTGGATTTTTAATCGTAAAGATGAAAAAATGTCTGGTCTTATTGTTTAGTGATGGCAAAACGAAGCTTTGCTTTCCTATATTCTCTCCATCTGAGGCTAAAACTATTAATATTCTTTATTCTTTAATGCAATCCATGCATTTTGTTAATTACAAAGTTAATTTTTTCTTAATGTGTGTTATGTTGTTAATGCTATTTTAATTTCCTTTCATAAATGTATGCAGAAACTCCACAAATACAAATGTAACAATATTTCAGTGATTTATACAATAAAGAGTTTAACTGAATATTTCCTACCAAACTGATATACAGCTATGCATCAAACATATGCTTATGTTTTAATTGAAGGGGCGTCTTAAGAATAACCTATGAATTCAGATTGTATGACGGTTGAATAAAAATACATTTACACAATTAAACTGTTTATTTAAAAACACACCGTTTAAATGTGCACATCTTAACACATGGGAGGATATACAGTGTAAAGAGACCAAGTTTTCAGCAGACTTAATTCTAGATGCATTTTTCCTTTTTATTTTCTCCATTGGGATTTCACTAAAATAGTTATAAGCCATTAACCAAACCACCAACCTTCAATTTTAATCACAGCAGTACAAAGTTTGGTCTGAAGAAAAATAAAAGTTTATGAAAATAAGGAATAAAAACTGCTTGATATATTTTTTCAATATTAACATATAGTATAATAATAGGCTACATTTATATTTCACGTGTCTCACATTGTCCTGCAAAATCACTTCTACATGCTGCAACTAGGGATGGCTGCCGCGAAACAGTCGTTCCGAAGCTTTGCGAGATCCCGAAGCGCAGATGTTTCGAAACACTGATTCGAAGCGTGATTCAAAACACCCATGTCACGTGACTATGGCCAAACGAAGCCTCGAAGTGTTTCATCAGGTGTGATCCACCGAATCAGCGTTTGATTGACACGGTCGGGAACAACAGACCACACAATCGCACATCTGTATAAAAGTGAAATCAACGCATATTGACCTCGTGGGTTTTTGTGAGAGAGTTTGATTTTGAGATAGCGGATTTTTGGTGATATGACATTTATAGTGCGATTTGTTTAGTTATATTTAGGCTTAAATGTACACAACACATTGACTGATAGGCTAGATACACAGAGTATACATACAGTGACACATTAATAGATACATAGATATAAATATATATAGACAGCTAGATTAATAGATAGATGAATGTGGCGTGATGGTAAGGCAGAGAGCACGATGATAACTAAGATAAGCAAAAAAAACTCACATTAAGGTAATCAATGTCTTAACTGTAGCCAACTACGCCACCTAGGGACTTTCACCCCAGGAATAATCAGAGTCAATCAAAAACCCCAGGTTCGTTCTCCCCAGAGAGGACTGACAGTTCTGCCAATTAAAACAAATTTTTATTATAGTAACATAATTCACATAACAATAAGTACCCTCAATACATTTACCTTTTACATTACCCACACATATGAAAAAAAAGGTAGCCTACTTAAAAAAAAAAAAAAAAAAGATTCAACACAAAGGGCAGCACGGGTCATCAGAGACACTAACAGGGAAAAAGAATCCGGCCCCACCCCAACCAATAATCACTCACTACAACCACACACATTGGTGTTGCACACTAGAAAGGAAATGAGAAATACTCATGTATTAAACACAACACCCCAAATAGAGAGGTGGGCAACGTACCTTTACCAATGTCCACAGGTGACCCCCAAGCGCTTACCAAAGTTACGAATAACCAAAAAAAGAAAGAACTTTATAAATAAACCCCAAAGGCAAATGTAGATACCCTAAATTATTGTACAAACAATTGCTTGTTCTTCTGTAAACTTCCCCAATAGGAAGCACTTCGTCTACAAAATACAATTTATAAAAATAAATAAATAAATATATATATATATTATATATATATAAAGGAAAATCAATACTAATAAAAGAAAATACCACAAAACAAATTAATCAAAAATAAAACAATTCACAATGGAAACAAAACAGCAGCGTAATCCGGGTCCGTGTGTCCTGGCATTACAGATACGCTTACACCGCTCAGAGCTGGAAGCAAGCCTGTTACGTCCCTCCGACCTGCACGCACACACAGCCGTGAGTTTTAAGTTTTTCTTTATACAAACATGAAACGGTCCACCAGAAAAGAGATCATACTCACTGCGTTAACAATGATTTTAACACGACTATACAGGCTCTCTGGACTCGGACTGTGTAGTGACTGCAGTGACAACATAGGCTTTAAATTACACACCAATATTAGGAAATCACATTCCACGTCTCATAGATGCACATACCTGATCGAACAATGAACGGAATAAATGCCCCGGACCACACGACTCCACTAGGAAAAGGCAACCAGGATGCCAAAAGCAACGTGCACAGACTGCACACCCAGCCCTTTGAACGCTGTGCTTTTATTTACAAGCGCAATCATGGTAATGATCAACCAGCCGGTTACCGCTTAATCTACTGGGCAGATAATTCCAGTTCTCCACTACATACAGATAGATTAAAGATAGGCTACATAATATAAATGAAATACATAGATAGATTATAGATACGTTTATAGATACATCTAAATACCTAAATTATAGATACATAGATTATAGATACATATCTAAATACATAGATTATAGATACATATTATATATACATATCTAAATACATAGATAGATTGTAGATACATATATCTAATTACATAGATTAGATAGATTAGAGATACATATCTAGATAGATTTGGATAGATAGATAAAATGGAGGCTCCCCAGAAGAGATGCCGTACATCTGTGGTGTGGGAGCATTTCCATTTAGAAACCCCAAATAAAGTGAGATGTGTGTATTGTGATCAGCAGCTCGCCTACTACATCAATACATCATCCAGTAGAAACACAGGACAGTTTATGGGAACTTTTTGATACTCATCAAACCCAGATGATACACAATGCTACAGCTGATGCCACAGTGGAAGTGAAAAAATACATCAACGATGCGTTTTTGCCCAGAACTCTGGAAAGAGAGAGCAGTAATCTTTCCTCATTTGTATGTATTAGCTAAAAAATATCTTTGCATGCCAGCAACAAGTGTCCCTTGTGAGAGGATTTTTTCAAAGGCTGGAGAAATTATCTGTAAAAAAAGAAGTAGGCTAAGTCCTTCCACAGCAGAGAAATTAATATTTTTGAATAAAAATATGTAAAAAAAAAAAGTGAGACATTGTGGCTTGATTTATTTTATTATTATTCATTTTGCAGGACCAAAATAACATTATGCACAGTGAGGAGCCTATAGGTTGCAAGATTCACATCAAAAAGTACAATAATAAAAAAACAACATTTTTTAATGGCTCCTCAAGGTTGTTTCAGATCAACACCTGCAAGTGACCACTAGGTGTCACAGTGGAGATGGGTGTCGGATTGATTCGAAGCATCGAAACAATATGGACCATTTGGTTCAACTGTTTCATTGCTTCACGAATCCTCGATCTGCCCATCACTAGCTGCAACTGTCACGGTTGTGGTGCGGGTTGAAGAAGGAGGCTGAGGCAAAAGCTCCAATGCAAACATTTACTAAGTGTAAACTCAAAAACAGGTACAAGAAGGCAAGAGGGCAAACAGGCAGAACAACTCACAACACTATAAGTAAGTCTAACTACTGACCAAGAATGACTAAACTGAAGGAACTAAATACAAGTACAAATCAACCATAACAAGGTGAGGACAGGTGACACAGATGATGATAACGATGAACAGGCTGGTAAGTGAGGGAGTGAATTCAGGTGTGGAGACAAGGAGGATTCTGGGAAGTGTAGTGCAGACAAGGACAGACAGGTGCAGACGAGGACTGTGACAGCAACAGAGCGATAACTGGCTGCTGTTCTTCTGATCAATGATGTTCAATAACACAGCAGATAACATTGCATTTGTCCAGTTATTTAGGATCTGTTTTATTTTGTCTACTGTAAGTCTATTAGTCTACTATAAGACTATTCTAGAACGATTTACACTCAAAAAATGTTTCATGTCTAAACATAAGATTTATGTATTTGAATTGCATATCAAATTTCCATCCGTTTGGATTACATAGTTTTAACATAAACCAATTAATAATCTGAATGTGATTCATACTTTTCAGTCATATATAAATGAAACAGATACAATTTATATAATTGTATTAATAAACTGAATGTGATTCATATTTGTCAGTCATACGTAAATGAAACGGGTAAGATTTATGTAATAGTATACAGAAAAACACCCATGTTAAATTAACACTGCTCAGTGTTCATATGTGTGCACACTACAGAGTTAAAGTACCATTGAAGCAGGGTTGAAGTTAATGAGATAATTAAGTGGTGATTGAGCATTCATTATGAACACCTGCTGTTAACAAGCAGAATCACTGATGGAAAGAGAAACGCAAGAACTACAACTGACTTCAGACACAGCCTTAGATGAAATCAACTGAAGATAAAATAAGACAGTACATCTCTCAAGATCTCTGCAGAGGAGGATTAAACAACTCCACAAACAGCATTACCATCTTCACTTATTACTAACCAGATTTACTTTATTTAATTTCCGTTTTAATGAAACCAACAGTTGTATTTTAAGTCACCATGATGGTGGTCAGTGTTTGATTTAGTTGGGCTCTTGACCCTTGACTCTTTAATATCAGATTTTCTCTGGCTGCTCACTCAGTAAATAATGTATAGAGGACTGCAAAAAGAAGAAAAAAAAGCAGTAAAGCTAAACAATGTTTATTAATACACATTATACTCAACAGTGTAACAGATTCTGAAGTAAAACTTCTGTGTACTGCCGTAACAGTACAGGGTCCTTTACACTGCCTATAAAAATAGAAAAACTGCCACTGTGAAAGGAAATCTGCTTTTAACATACTGACATGGAAATTAAATACATTTATATTCAAACTGGTAACTTAAGACTGCATGTGGAAGTGGAACAACTTGTGTAAATACATATTGTTGTTACAAAATATAGAGAATGTTTTTTTTTTTAGACATACATTTTAGTTTTTCATCATAAATAAATAAGTTAATACAGTGTAAACAATGACAGTGTAATGTCTGTTCTGAAAGTATTTGTCACATTCATCTCCACATTTCACATTCTCCAGGGGAAGCCGTCTTCATGAATCACATCATTACAAACTTTGATTTGAAGCAAAAGAAAACCAAAAAATAAGACAGAGGTAAAAGGCCACATATGAGGGAATGAACCCATGATTCTCTGACTGATTTTTCTTCAGGATTATGGATATTGTAGTTCTTCATGTAGAATTTGTAAATTAAATACATTTTGTTACTGGTAGGTTTGTGGTAGGTTTATACAGAATCATTACAAATAACAAGTTTCTCTATGGAGAATATGAATGGGACTTTAACTTATAGTATAGACAGTTATTTGGATAAAGCTTGAAAAATAATTTCAATCTCTGAGGCACAATGAAAGTAACAGTTCTGAACAGTGACTATGTCTTTAATCATAACTTATGATTAATTATGAATATTTAGATCAGTTCACCGGATTAACTGATGTGACTAACTTAATATCTTAATCACTTAATCAGTTCCTCCAGCAAACACTTTATTGATTATTTATTAATTCTAAGAAAAGAGTATTTTTCATGGCCACATAAATAATTCTTTCTTAGCATGTAAAGCGCTTAGAGCGGGTCACAAGATCGGAAATCGTTAAGTTGACTGCCAAAAGCAGAGAATCAGAACCAAATATTTATATAAGTTTTACTAAATCACAAACCCATGTAGCGTCTGGACCAATCAGACACACACTAATTTCTCATTATATTTAATGAACAATCCAGTAAACTCACTTTCCCAACAAAGGTCTATGAAACTCCTCTGAAACAAACATCCCAAATGAACACCCTGGTAGTCCTGGTGTCTTGTTACAGGACTGATAAGGAGATGTTTACGACCTCCAAAGGAATGTGGCCACATGCGCAAGAGAGAGACAATGGGAAGACAGAAACAATCTTTAATACAGACTTTGCTGCATTAATCATAGTCTAACTGATCTATAAATTAACATGCATAAAACTGTTAAAGAAACAGTGTAAATGGTTTACTGTCTTGTGTACTATTATGTATATATTATGGTATGTACCTTGGTATACAACCAACTAACGATCAATGTAACCTCACCTGTATCATGCCTCCTACCTAATTAATCCTCATTTAATGACTCACACTTTGATGTACATCACCTTCTTCTAGAATGCAGTGTGGATGTGTTATATCTATCTGAGCATTAATGAAGGTATAACCACGCTTGGGACAAAGACTCGTAAATTAACTAGAGCAACCTACCCGCTCGGACATTTCATCTTGTTTACTGGTCGGGTCAACCCTTAGGGGTTGGATCTCTCTCAGGCTTTATTAGAGACAGTCCACAGTGACCTCCCTCTCTTAGTTTTTTCCATCCAGCCGCAACACTGTTTCTGGTGATACTGGGGAACCCCTTCCCCCTCCACGGGGGCCCCAGGGCCCAGCAGGCCTTAATCCAACCAGATATGGGCTCATGCAGGAGAGAGAAGACTCTCTCACAAAGAACCAAGGACAATCTCAGGAGTTTTGGAACAACGACTCCAACCAACGACTCCAATCACCCACTCTTCCGACTTCCTCACTTCTCCTGGGTGCTCGGCGTGGCCTCAACAGGCTCCAGGGCCCCAGGCCTTGACCAAACCAGCCATCCGCTCATGGAGAAAGATAACTTTCAAACAACTTCCACATGACCCTGCCGGAACCATCAACGACTTCAATTTTCCACAACTTCAAGAATTGTTCCCACTACAAATGCAAGTATTCAATTCAATGAAATGTGAAAATGAAATTCTGATGGTTCTTCGTCTTCCGGTTGCCAATTTCATCCTATCACTCACCTATTTATGTATATATGTTTGTTTAGTTTATTTATGTTTATGATTTAGTTAATAAAACTTGTGCACAATATGTATTTGGTTCTGATTCACTGCTTGCAAACAAAGTCTCGTTTACGATCTTGATCTTGTTACATGCTCAAAGCGCTGTACATGCTAAGTAATATTTTTTCTTCTGTGGCAGTGGAAGATACCATTTTCTTAGAATAAATTAATAATCAAAAGAGTTTGTTGGACGAACTGATTAATTGATTGTAATATTAATTTAGCCATATCAAGTTAATCCAATTAACTGACCCAAATATTCATAATTAATCAGAACAAGTTATTATTGATTATTAATATTTCATAGAGCTGATTTGTTACACCCATTACTAAACTAAACAAAACACATACACACATTTACAGTGACTGAAAAATTGGAACAGAGCAGAGGAATGAAGGTAAGGGTCATTTAAACATGAAGAAAAGCTAAATTTCACAATAAGTATTGTATAAACTTAAATATGTTATACAGTATATTCACTTCAGTAATGTTGTAGCTGCCCACTGATCCTGCTGGGATCCTCTCAGATCACACAATCTGTGTGTAATCTTTCTGTAAGAAGAGAGAGAGAAATGAACAGTGCTGTTTAGAGTTACAGAAACATAAAGACACAATGATTCAAAATATCAGACACAATCAGCACATCTGTCATCTACAGTTTAGGTCAGTACAGTATCACAGTCTGAGTGAGTTTGTGTGTGTGTGTGTGTGTGTGTGTGTGTGTGTGTGTGTGTGTCTGTGTGTGTGTGTGTCTCTGTATAGTGTATTTACTAGTTGCCAGATCAATAAAAAAATAGTATCAAAATCCAGATAACACTTCAAAGCTGTTGTATGGTTGTTTTTACATTTCAATTACATTTTTTAAAGAAAAAACATAAAGAAAAGAAAACACACTGTATTGTTTAAACAAGACCACATATTTGTTCTAGATTTGTGAAATTACTGAGGGAGAAAAATACTCTGAACCCCAAGTGAATTTACACAAACTGGGAAAGTCAGAAAGTGTAAGGTTGTTCCCCGCTCTCCCCTAGTTGCTACTTTTAATCATTTCTTACCAACAAAACATATGTAAACGTCATATGAAATCTATAACAAAAATCTATGTCATCTACACAACAAAAAATCATTTTGTTTATACTTTAACTGATATCTCCCGCCATCTAGCTTTAAATTGAATCGCCAGTCCTCGCCACCTTGGTCACATGACCATAAACGCTAAAATGACTTCCATGGCCATCACAAGTACCCTTCACTAACAGACTTGTGGAAGGGCCCTTCGTGAAGAGATTCAGTTGTTCACTTTCATTTGGAAAACCCCAACAAGTGGCGCCCCTTCAACAGAATTCTAGTTATGACGTGATTTTCAGCAAATATCTGACCGTGGAATGTCCCGACCGACCAATCAGAATGAAGTATTCCGGAGAGCCAGGTAATACTTTTGCATAAAATGTTTCCCTATAGTATCTGTAGGTGATGCTTACCCTTTCTAGAGCTCCTGTGGCGAAGATACATCACACCAACAGCTGAAGCTACACACACCAGCAGAACAGCAACAGTTACTCCTGCTACAACAGCAGAAGACGGACCTGAACCTGGAACTGATACAGAGAAACAGACATTAGTGTGAGCGAATCTGACTGTTTATACCATATTCATTAGATATATTATCTCTATGGACAATGTACTGTATGTCCAAATTGGAGGTGCGGAAGGCTAATTCCTCTAAGGTGAAATGATCCTCAACAGTTTATGACATTTGGGTATATTACCACATCATTTTTCCAAAGAAGAATTAGAGCTTAACTTCCCCTGTTTACAACTGAACTATCTGTGCTTCAAATCTACGCATATTAGATCTATAACCTATGAGGTTGGCCTCCAGAAATGCAGAGAGACGTCGAGAGACACTTCTGTGACCTCAGCATTTTCCCTCGAACATCTCTCATCATGAATTTTAAATCTGTTTGTGTTTCTGTTTACTTTTCCAGTAGTATGTATTCATAGTTTGTTGAATGAAACTTTTGGAGGGAGCATGTTATTGGCTTTCCAAGGCTACAGCGTTATTATATCGGACATCTTTATTATTCAATTATAAATAGCAAGTGTTTAGGATAAAGTTTGACAAACATTATTTATATATTTTTTTTTATTAATATTTTGTGTTTAAATGAACAACATCAGAATCATTTAGATGAATTATAAAGTGAAGTTCCCCATAAGAACAGAGCATTTATTAAATAAACTGTAATACATGTTATGCTAATATATATTTTTTTTAAAGTAGAGTAGAAGACATACTCAAGTCAGCCGCATGCTTCTCCATATACGGTTCTTCATTGGTTTCATCTTGATCAGACAGAGAAGCTGGAAAACACAAACCAATAAAAATAAAGAAATTCCAAAGAACACAATAATTGATGTTTTGATATAATCTTTTGATTCAATATTACAAAGACACATGGATGCAGGATTGTATATAGGATCACAGATCAAAAATGACTGAGCAGAGTGATCAGAAATGCAGTTTATAAATTTACAGCATGCCAATGAAATTGAATGTTTCTATTATAATAGAAAAATAATTTAGTTCAAAAATATTTAATTCCTTAACAACAACAAAAAAACTTCAGGGTAAATAACATTGAGTGACTCACCGCTGATGATCACGCTGTATGTTTTTATGGTGTCATCATGAGAGCTGCTGATTTTTCTGGTGATTTTTGTGCTGTCACACTTCCGGTTTCTGTTCAAGCTTTGCCTTTTGCCTGAACTTTCGCTTCTGATCAGCTCTGCTTCATAACGTCCAGCGTGTTCAGATCTGATGTTTGTGATGGTCAGAGATCCGGTCTCATAGTCCACCTCCAGTCTGCCTCTGAATCTCCCGTCTTCTCCATCATATAAACAGCTCGTACTGGGATGTCCGTTGATCAGAGCTATGCGAGTGTCTTCAAAATACCACAGTATCTTGTCATGTTGTTTTTTAGTAATATTAGTGTTTAGAGTTACAGAATATCCCTCCATCACTGACAATGTCATCACTGCATCGCCAAACACACCTGAGGACACAAATAAACAATTACGTGTGTGTGTGTACAGATTTCACATAGGCTACATAAGGATAGCCTGCCCTGAAATCAGATATTGTAGCGACCAGCTAACCCTTCCCATGAGGAAAACAGATAAATAAACATAACAAATAATCAATATCTAAATGCAAAAGGTTAAGATTGAAGGTGGGGTTAGGGCTATGGGACAAAAAAAAATCATTAGCTTTGATTAAAAACAACAGAATGAAAGTCTCCACTACAGCCCAATTCAGACAGGACTAGTTTAACATGGAGAGGTGGAGTAATGTAATTTTACCACAGGACATCTGTTATAATAATGGCTAATAATATAGAGATAGACGCCCTATTGGGCGCTGGGCGCAAGAAATGCGGCTGCCATCTTCAACCGGTCGTACTCCTAATTGCGTTGCATGGCAGCAGTTAAGATGCCAGAGCACTGTGCAGCATATTCCTGCTCAAATCGGCAGGCCATCGCAGATAGGGCTCGGGGGGATTACTTTTCACAAAGAAGATTTAACATTACTGTACCATTGGTTGTATTTTGTGAATAGAATATTACCAGAGAGTTTAGAAGGAGCAAGGATCTTTGATACTGAAATTGTAGCCAGCTTGCTAGGCTGTGTTTACAACTTTACAACTGTAGGACAGGAAGAGCTAAATAAACGTATCATTGCATCTAAACCAACAACATGTTTATTGGATCCAATACCCACTAAACTACTGAAAGAAGTGTTACCTGTAGTGGAAGAGCCTCTTCTTTATATTATTAACTCGTCTTTATTCTTAGGTCATGTTCCAAAAATATTCAAGCTGGCAGTAATAAAACCTCTTATTAAGAAACCGCAATTAGATCAAAATAACTTAGCAAATTACAGACCCATTTCAAATCTTCCATTTATGTCTAAAATACTAGAAAAAATTGTGTCCGCTCAATTGTGCTCTTTCTTGCAAGAAAATGAGATATATGAAAAATTTCAGTCAGGATTCAGACCGCATCATTGCACAGAAACTGCGCTAGTTAAAATTACAAATGATTTACTTTTAGCTTCTGACCAAGGCTGTATCTCAATACTAGTTCTACTCGATCTTAGCGCTGCGTTCGACACTATAGATCATAAAATACTCTTGGATCGACTACAAAACTACACTGGTGTTCAGGGACAGGCATTAAGCTGGTTCAGATCGTACTTATCAGACCGTTACCATTTTGTCTGTTTAAATGGGGAAAAATCGAAGATAACATCAGTAGACTATGGAGTGCTGCAAGGATCGGTGTTAGGCCCTCTGCTATTCTCAATATATATGCTGCCACTTGGTAATATTATAAGAAAACATGGAATTAATTTCCACTGCTATGCTGATGACACTCAATTATATATTTCATCACGACCAGATGAAAACACTAACTTATCTAAATTGACAGAATGTCTTAAAGATATAAAATGCTGGATGACGTGTAATTTCCTGCTATTAAATCCAGATAAAACGGAGGTATTACTTATTGGTCCAAAAAACTACCCACAAAATCTCTTACAATACAACTTTAATTTAGAAGGATGTCCTGTTACCTTATCGACTACAGTAAAAGACCTGGGTGTTATACTAGACCGCAACTTGTCTTTCGAAAATCATATTTCATATGTTACAAGAACTGCCTTTTTCCACCTTAGAAACATTGCTAAATTACGTAACATGCTATCTGTTTCTGATGCAGAAAAGTTAGTTCATGCATTCATGACCTCGAGACTAGATTACTGTAATGCTTTATTAGCTGGTTGTCCTGCATCTTCAATAAACAAGCTACAGTTAGTGCAAAATGCAGCCGCTAGAGTTCTTACTAGGTCAAGAAAATATGATCATATAACACCGATTCTATCATCTCTGCACTGGTTACCTATTAAGTTCCGTATCAATTACAAAGTACTACTACTGACCTATAAAGCCCTAAATGGTTTAGCTCCTGTGTATTTAATGGACCTTCTATCGCCCTACAATCCATCGCGTTCTTTAAGATCACTAAATTCGAGGCTTCTGGTCATTCCTAGGATATCTAAGTCCACTAAAGGAGGGAGGGCGTTCTCACATTTAGCTCCTAAACTCTGGAATAGCCTTCCTGATACTGTTCGTGGCTCAGACTCGCTCTCCCAGTTCAAAACTAGATTAAAGACGCATCTCTTCAGCCAAGCATTCACATAATGCTTACCTTTTATACCACTGTTGAATCAGATCGAATGCATTAATATTATGAACAGCAGCTACGCTAATTATTTCCCATCTGCTTTTCTGCTGTTATCTCGGGACGCTAGTCCCGAGGTAAATAGCGTTCGTCAGCTCCAGTTTGTATCCAGCCTCTCACGGAGACTTCAGATGCCCCAACAGCTGCGATGAGACGACTCGACGCCTGTGAAGAGACGACTCGACGCCTGTGAAGAGACGACTCAACGCCGGCGATATGTTATGCCCTAAATTAATACATGATGATTAACTAACTATATTCTTCTATGTACATTTCTGAAATGCACTTTCTGTAAAGCTGCTTTGAAACAATATGTATTGTGAAAAGCGCTATACAAATAAATTTGAATTGAATTGAATTGAATTGTTTACTGTTAACTGCGGTGTTCACCCGGCTGAGACTTGATAAGTCATATTCCATTACACTGACTTATGGCGCTTTTCCACTGCATAGTACGGTACGGTTCGGCTCGGTACGGTTCGACTCGGTGCGGAACGGTTCGGCTCGCTTCGCTTTTCCACTGCGTGGTACGACTCGACTCGGTACGGCACGGCTCGGTTCGCTTTAGCTCGGTTGCTTTTCCACTGCAGTAGTACCGCTTCAGTGGGTGGGACTGATCGTTATATATATAGTTGCGCAACTCCTCAGCAACCAACGAGAGGAACGTCTGCACCTCGTCCACTGACCACGATTCAGCCATTTCTTTTTTTGAAGTTTTCATCTTCTTTTTTTCAAGCAAATACTTTAAAAACAGGTACTACAGCGTTGGCTGTTGTCTACTGCTGGCTATTTAAATCTAGCGGGTTAGTGTCTCGTGTCGCAAATACAATGACGCTGGTAGTGACGATTCTGTCTGTCTGACCAATCAGTGATCTGCAGTGTTTTGACGTCACATTTTAGTACCGGTACGGTACGCTTGGAACCTCAACAGATCAGGTACCATTTAAAGCGAGCCGATGCGAGCCGTACCGTACCGTACCATGCAGTGGAAATGCGCCATAAGTGAGCCGTACCGAACCGAGCCGTACCGTACTATGCAGTGGAAAAGCGCCAAAGCGTGCCGTACCGAACCGAACCGTACCGTACTATGCAGTGGAAAAGCGCCATTAGATTACAACTGCTATTGTAGAAATATAACAAATATTATAACATTGGCATGTGAATTTTGCACAAGTGGCACAGACTGTATTATCAGTGTTGGGCAGTCACTACTTGTAGCTTAGCTAGTAACTTAGCATTTTGGTGGTAGCTTCACTATTTCCAGTATGTGTGTGATAGAGAGAGACACATATAA